AATAATATTTAACTATTGGAGTGGCTATTAAGAAGAGACGGCGGCAAGTAGTGAATTGATTGAAAATTTTTTGTCTATCTGAAAATTAACGGAATTTCTCTTCCCCAAGGCTGCTAATACGCATGCGCTTGTTAGGTTGCCCAGTCGAGGAGGTGGGTAGTCTCGTTTCTTCGGTTAGGCAGAGTTACGATTTTGGGGATACGGATAAGGTGCATTTTGTTGTTGTATGTCTACATGCATGGGCTCCGGTGGAGGTTGAAGAGTCTTGTTGCTTTGAACAAAATTCCTAAAGTGATTGTCGTAGCTTTTATTAGTTTGTTTTGTGGTTTTAGTTTTCTTTTGTTGTTTTATATGCCGTAGGATTGGATTGTTAGGTTGTTTGGTGTTGGTGAAGTGATTCTAAGCGTAGTTTTCCCATTGGTAATTCGCTTCTAGTTCCTGAGCTATTGCCAAAGTATTAGGCGAACTCCCTAGAATAAGAGAAAACAAAACTACCGATAAAGAGCCGTTTAGGCCAGTGAAGAAGAGTCTTAAGGTTACCCTGTCGTAAAATACTAAAGTCCTGTTCCATTCTGTAGATTGGCCGTCTATCACTGTAGGCGAAATCAAATCTTACAAGTATAGATTCAAAGTTCAGAACTGTACCGTAATTAATCAGGGTATTATAGGCCTCACCTGTTATCTTATTTCTTAAGATTTTTAAAGCTGCATAATACTTTCTACTTCCTTCGTTATAAAATCGCATATCGACTAGTGGCTTCGAGCCACCTACCATATGCATTATGACTGCCTGAAAATTCTGGTATAGACTTAATGACATCAAAAGATTCATCGCAACGAAAAACGGAGTCATTAACTTCAGTTATTTTAAATTCTTGTTCATTATTGGATGAGAGAGTAATTTGCATTTTCAATTCTGAAATTTGCTCTTGAAGTGCTCTCGTGTGAGTTGCTATCAACTGAGCTACCAAATCAGCTGTTATTGTTAGTCATTTTTCAATTTTGAAATCCTTCAATTAAACTTTCTATTGCTACAAAACAACAACAGTCCGCATGAAACCCTATTTTTTCCCGTAGTCTGTTTTAATCGCTGAAACGCTGGTGCTAGATTTCGAGGACATAGAAAACTCAGTGCAAAGAAAAGGGACAGATAATGCCACTGTGTTTGTTGTTGGATTCTCTGTCGTTCCTACAAGGCAGCGTGCAGAAACAACAACAACTAAAATCAAAACAAACTACAATGAAAAAGCAGACCACATATTCTTTCCTCGCAATCCCTTTTTAATTGAGGCTACAGTCTATGATCTTAGCTTCTTCACCCTTCTAACTTGTGGTTTCTAAGCATTGCTATGCCTTTAATTTGCAAATCATGTCTTCTTCTTCTCCACGCGATTTCAACTTGCAAGCAGCTCGGCAGATTTGTATCATTTTTCATTTTTCGAGCACCAAGACACCCTTTATCAAAATAGCGTATAATATATAACTATACATTAGTGATGTAACCAAATAATACAAACCTTTTATATATACATTTTTATCCAACATCTACAAAAATATAATTTCGAAATAATGTGCAACTATGAGTACAATTATTATTAATTATTTAATGCAAAAATTATATACCATTCCGATAAATAAGGGTATCAATGCCGCGACCCGCCAAATAGTTCACACTTATTGGTGCACATCTGCAAATATGTATGTGTCTGCCAAGCCAAGGGAAGTCTATGAACTTAGGAAGATTGCAATTTCCGCATGTGACGTCACAGCTTAAGGCTTATTCCATGCTATCATTTATTCAAAATGATTACATGTCATTCAATTATGTACTATAAAGAGCCCTATTAAAAAATTATTTAAATGTACCTGATAAAGGTAGAAATATATACTAAACATCACTAGAAATAAAATTCTATAAATCTGACGTCATAATTTCTTATGTTAACGCGGCGTGCGCGTGACTCTTTGATTTGAGTGCCATTGCCTGCTAGCATTAAAATTTTCTACCTACTTGCGCCGAGACTCGGCTCTGCAACAATAATTTAGTACCCAAATTGTGTTGTTGTTGTTTCTACCCTCTACCTTGTAGGAGCGACAGAGAAACCAGCAACAAACACAGTGGCATTGTCAGTACCTTTTCTTGGCACTGAGTTTTATATGTCTTTGAAATTTTGCAATTTAGCGATCAAAACAGACGACGGGGAAAAAATTGGGTTTCATGCGCACTGTTGTTGTTTTGTAGCTGATTTGTTGTTGCTCCCTATGGTAAATGAGCTTTATTTTTATACCCTGAACCCATTAAAAATGGATATAAGGGTATGTTGCATTTGTGCAAAATCCAAATGTATGTAACAGGCAGAAGGAAGCATCTCCGACCCCATAAAGTATATATATTCTTGATCAGCATCAATGGTCGAGTCGATCTAGCCATGACCGTCTGTCTGTCCGTCCGTCCGTCCGTATGTATGAACGCAAGGATCTCAGAACATATAAGAGCTATAGACTTGAAATTTTAGATGTAGGTGCTCTTAGTGCCTGCGCAGATCGAGTTTGTTTCCGATAATCGATAACATACTCCGTTTCCAAGCAATCCATAAAAATCGATGTCGACATACTGTTTTTTTTGGGCAATTTTGGTAAATAATAAGAGCTAGCACCAAAACTTGACATATAGCTTCTACAATAGAATATATATATGCATTTGATGTTGAAAGAAGAGGGTTCAGGGTATCCCCTAGTCGGGAACTTCCTCTTACTTGTTTGAGTTTGATTTTGCGTTTACTGACCAACCTTAACCACCTTGCGCTGGTTTTTAAACGGAGCTGGAAGTTAATATTCTCTTTATCTGATTATTACTCTATGGTTTATGCTAAAGTTTTATTTAATAAAGTTCAGAAGATCGCGGGGCAACGTTCGTATTCCAAAGCTAAATGCTTTGAGCACGTGAATTTGGGTCTTTACGTTATGAATTGCGCATGAGAATCTGCATATTTTACGTTGTGTTTATGTTAGAGCCGGGAGTCTGGATCTTTATGTTAAGTGGTTGCGCTGTTATGCTTATGTTAGAGTGAGAGTCTGGATCTTTACGTTAGATAAGCCGCAGCTGCGCGTTAAGTGGACGAAAATATTGACATGAGTCTAATAAGGGTGAAAGAGCTAAGTAATTGAAATATAACTTATTCCGAAATATTGATTATAAATTCAATAAGAATTGCTAGGTGATAACTTGTGCACATATGTATGTACATTTATAATTGCGTGTTCTTTTTGGAATTATATGCGAAGAATTGAAAATGCGATTTTATATGATTCTGTACTGTGTGCTTGTGTTGTTATTTTGAAAAATTTTACCCCTAACAATCAATGTTAGCATGACTTTACATTGTGAGTCAATGTCAATTAGTTCGTTCAGTTCGGGGTGCGACTTTTAAACCATCAGAGGTAATCAATTTTAATCCTCTTATTAGATTCCTCTTTCACCCATTATATAGGCACAAACTCAAAAGTGAATTTTTTTTTACTTTTCACTTCCCTTTTTCTTTAGGTGTGGGTATGTATAATATGTGTGTATTATAATGCAAGTATTATTGCAGATATTAATTTCAAACTACATCAAATAAATACGTACGAACTTATGCTAAAAATTAGTTAATGAAATCGATGCTCTTATCTTAAAAAAACGCTAAGCTCATTGGAAATGGGTACAATTGGTATAATAGGTATTTCTATGGCATGCGCACTCAACTTTTTATGCCCTGAACACATTGAATATGGGTAAAATGGGTATAATGCTTTTATAAAAATTTATGTAACATTTCGAAGAAAACATACCCTAAATCTTAAGGTCTATATATCTATGTATATGAATCGCCCAATAAGATCTACTGCTTAAGTTGCATTAGGTTAGGTTAAAGACAATTTGTGCTTCTATTTTCACGTGATTGCGGCAGCTAACTTAAATTGCATGCATTTCGTATTCTTGCATGTCTTTATTAACTTTTATAAACAGTATTGCAATTACGATTTTATTTTATTCTTATTCGTTTTTTTTTTTTTTTTTCATGGAGAATGAATAGTTGGCATGGCCAACCAGTAGTGGCGGGGTAGCATGTAGTATGTTCTGTTACGGGTTCAAGTTCTATTGAGGACACTTGTTGTTTACAATTGTTTACAGCTAGCGAAGCGGTTATCCCCTAATTGGGAACTTTAGACTAAAGCCACTTACTTTTTTTTTTTTGATTTTGTGTTATATAGGTATATTCACCATTAAAACAAATAATCGAATATGGCCGATATTTTCATAAATATTACAATATATATTAAATACATATTACTTTATTTTTATTTATTTTGATTTTTGTTTTATTTTATCACTTTTTTGCATTTTTATTTTTAGTAAATTAAAGTGTACATTCTAGTCGAGCATAAAAGATCCTTTTACTTATTCTAACCAATTTTACTGGAAAACTAAAACACAAAAGTTCATCATTTTTCAAATCGTCGAAGGTTAAATACCCTTACAAAGGTGAATGATATATAAAACCTTTATTATTATATACAGTCCACTGTTAATAAGATTTTTCTTAATATTTTAGGAGCATAGCTAAAATATTTTAAAACTGTATCACAATAATTTTTTGTTGCAAGACTTGGTAAGTGCTGTTAAGATATCTTCAACGACTAAGTGGTTTTCAATTATAACGCAATTATTTATCAATATTGCAACAGCAACTAAAGTTTTACAAAGAGCTTCAAAACGAAGAAAGTAATTAATATACGCATAGACAGACAAAAATATGAAAGTTACACATACACATTGTATATCGTTTCCTAGCTGCGATACACATTTCGTCACAAAATAAGAATACACTCTGCAAGGGTAAAATTGGTGACCGCTAACGCATGCTCGATGAAATTCAGTGGAAATGCTCGTACCCGATACGAAATGTTATTGCTTCCAATTAGATGTTCGGTAGCTTATTCGTAAAATCCGAACTTATTTTCCCTTTGAATGCCGACTTCGGTGAATGGTGGTCACTTATTGTGAAGCCATAGAAATTCTTAGTTGGACAAACTGCTTTGGTTTTATTTTATAACGAACTTTTAATCGAAAGTAAATCAATACACCAAAATGGAAAAATTGCATGAGTATCAAGGGCTAACCGGTCGTCTCCACCAATGGAGAGATAATGTTAAAGAAAAATATACTTCAATCAATCAAGGCTCTACAAACATTTTTGAAAAAGCTAAAAGTACTGCAATGGATCAACTTAAAGGTAATGCAAGTGCGAACGTGGACTACTCACATATTTATAGGTAAGATGCTTAAAAATTTGATACAGCTCTTTATGTAGAATATGCCAATTGATTTTTTTGTTTAATAATCTTGTATGCATATATTAATATCATTTTAAATATAACACCAGTAAGTGATTTTATCCGGGAGCTTCCGCCTAGGCGATGACTTGAACCCTCTTATTCCAACACCGAATGCAGCTCGTGCTTCTAACAAAGATAAATTAAAAAAAAAAAGTTCCCTTAGCAGGGCTCTAACTCGTAACTGACCGCATTTCTTGCTGCCGACTCCACTCAACAGACACACCAATCGGTACGATTCGAACACGCAGCAGACCACTCTACTGGCCACCGCCTCTACTTAACAGCCACACCAATAAATGAGTCTTATTGAGAAAAAAACTAATTTAAATAGCAGCACAGAAAACAAAACAATCTCAATAACAATGCTGTTGATAGAATTCAATGCAGACGCGCATGAATGTACAGAAATTCTTGGAGTATAAGCTTGTTGCTGCTAATACGTGCGCAGCCAAAACTCATAACTTTTCGTGTTTCTTAATCGATATTAATGAAATTTTCTTCAGTACATCTTTAAATGCTATGGAATACTTGTGTAATCGCAAAAACACAATTGCATAAAAATTGTAGCTTAAATGGGTGGGCAATGCAAGTTAAGTTATTAACTTGATTAATAGCTTTGTGGTGGTAGCGGGTAAGTGGACTTAGGTATAAAATTTAATATACTTGATATATATATAATATTCTAGAAGCAACATATTAGGTTTGGTGACACTAGCTCTTTATGTTTACCCAATTTTGTCAAAAAACAGGATGTTGATTTCGATTTTTATCGGTTGCTTCAAAACGGAGTAAGTAATCGATTATCGGAAATAAGCTCGATCTGCGCAGGCACTATCAGGACATACAGCTAGAATTTCCAGTCGATAGATCCTTTAGATTCCAAAAGGCAGATCCTTTAGGTCGTTAGAGCTATAGTATATATATATATCAAGTAACTTCGTGCGCTATAAATCAAGTAAATAAACTAATAAGTATTGCCAACCAGTTGAAGCTACAATTGATGCAATTGGCTTTCTGAGAATACACAAATATTCTATAGAATAATAAGATATACTGTTGAAAATTTAATAAATATCAATTAAGAAACACAAAAGTTATTAAAGAAGACGTGATTAGGCTGGTCTCGTGTTTGCTGCAATTAGCGCAAATTGCAAATATTTCTGTATTCATGAATTGAATTCTATCAACAGCACTTCAATTGCGATTATGTTGTTTTCTGTGCTGCTATTTTAATCGGTTGCTTATACCCTTGCAGAAGGTATTATAATATTGTCGTGAAATGTGTAACGCATAGAAGGAGACATTTCTGACCCCATAAAGTATATATATGCTGGATTAGTATCAACAACCGAGTCGATGTAACCATGTCAGCATGTCCACCTGTCTGTTTCTATGCGAACAAGTCTCAAAGTTTAAAAGCTGTTTATGAAACTTCGCAGAAGACCGTCTTTCTGTTGCACCCAGCACACATGTCGAAACCAGCAGTCGGAGCACTATATTTTATTTATTTATTTACATAGCTGACATAGGAACGAACGGTCGAAAATTAGCTTGTTGTATGAAAACAAATTTTGCACACCAGTGTCGGCATTTATTAGTTTTTCTATCCTCATATATATAAGCAAAATGGTATTAAGATCGGACCACTATATCATATAGCTGCCATAGAAACGACCGGTCGAAAATTAAGTTGTTGCATAGAAAACTTTCTTAGTATGCTCCCTTCATTTTATTTGCATTGTACTACTATAGCATATATCTGCCATATGAACGATCGGTCGAAAATTATGTTTTTGATTAAAAACCTGTTTTGTTTATCAATATATCTTGACCAAACTCGGCATTAACTATTTTGCATGTGCTTCGTAGTTTCGGGCAAAGCACTATGAGCATTATGAAAAGGTTTGGTCTGCAAGGGTATTAGATCTTCGGCGTGCCAAAGATAGCCTTTCTTTTTCGTTCTATTAAGACTCAATTTTTGGTGTGGCTTTTGAGTAGAGGCATTTGCAAGTAGTGTGGTTCCTTAGGAGTTCAAGACTTATCGAGAAAACTTTTTTTTAAATTTATTTTTATTACAGCTGACGGAAACGAGCGCGTAGGACGAGTTGCATTAAGTGTTGGTAGAAAAAAGTTCATGGTATTCCCTATTAGGGAGCTTTCGTCTAGACCCTCTTACTTGTTTCATTATAAACATATATACATGTCCAGCACTTATTTTTAACGCTGGTTGTCTACTTTTAAAAATTCAAATAGAAAGTATTACCAATTACCAAAAGGTAATATCAAATTTAATACATTACGAATTTAATGCGTACCCATCATGTTAAAATTTTTTCCCAAATTTATTTTTACTAAGGCCTTCCAACTAGTTTCGTTCAGGCTATGGGAAGTCCATAATCTTACGTACAGCATTGCACGCACCATCAGACTCGATCATGACCAGCCTGACTCTAGTATTACTTGAAAAGTTCGCAGTGATCGTAAAAATATACCCTGGGAAAAATTTGTCTTGCGGCAACTGTCTTAAAGAAGCCAACCATAGCTCGTACGTAACTATTGCGCTTGTTGAGCAACACAGTCCTTTGGTGGCTTACAAATTACATATTCTCAGAATTTAGACGTCAGATGTGTTTTAATGGAATTTGATAAAAATTGCACCGAGATCAATATGATCTTCTCCAATATTCTGCTTGTGCGCACTGCCTCCTGCCTCTCAGTACTGTTGCTTACTAAACCCGACCCTATAAAGTATATATATTCTAGATCAGCACCAAAAGCCGAGTCGATCTAGCCATGTCCGTCTGTCTGTCTGTATGTCTGTCCGTCTGTCCGTCCGTCCGTCTGTCCGCAAGTATCTCAGAACCTATAAGAACTAGAGACTTGAATTTTAAGATGTAAGTGATTCTAGTGCCTGCGCAGATCGAGTTTGTTTCCGATAATCGATAACTTACTCCGTTTCCAAGCAACCGATACAAAACCATATCGATATCCTGTATTTTAGGCAATTTTGGTAAATAATAAGAGCTTGAGTAAACAAACTTGACATATAGCTTCTAATATAGAATATATATATGCATTTGATGTTGGAATAAGAGGATTCAGGGCATCCCCTAGTTGGGGGCTCCCGATTAGAACCTCTTACTTGTTATACCCTGAACCCATTAAAAATGGGTATAAGAGTATATTGTATTTGTGCGAAATCGACCCCATAAAGTATATATATTCTTGATCAAGGATCTCAGAACCTATAACAACTAGAGACTTGAAATTTTTGAAGTAGGTGCTCCTAGTTCCCGCGCAGATCGAGTTTATTTCCGAAATTCGATAACTTACTCTGTTTCCAAGCAATCGATAAAAATTGATATTGATATCCTGTTCTGACATATAGCTTCTAAAATATAATATATATGCATTAGATGTTGGAAAAAGAGGGTTCAGGGTATCCCCAAGTCGGGAGCTCCCGACTAGAACCTCTTACTTGTTTTTCTAATAAATCTGCGGATATAAACCTGATATTAATTTAAATGACCCACACTTTCTCAACGCAATGATATTTTGCTATTCTCTACATCAATATATTTTTACAATATTATTGGATTAAAAGCGTTTTTTTCATCATTTGAAATTTTAATAAATTTTAAATAAGAAGCTGCCCGACACGAATTGGAGTTCAAAACAGAATTATTAACATAAATTAAAATAAAAGAGTGAATCTTCGTAACTATAAGAGTATGCTCCTCATATTATATCATGACATTCAAATTTGGCGATTGAGCCACAGGCTCCTGTCTATGGCACCTCTCGTTGGATAAGAAAGGCGTATTCGCAGGCAATCTCCAATCTGTGTGGACTTCCTAATCCGGCTGGTAGGCAATGTGAGACGTTATGCACAACTGAAACGTTACTTCATATGGGGACATATAATATTTAATTGCAGTAGTTGTTCAGTTAATGATCGAGGACTCCTCATGTTACGGATTTCAAATTGTAAATGCAGCCGTTGAGCAAATTGATGCGTCATGAAATTGACCTGGGAGTATGAGTCAAGCAATGCTCTGCTCCCTCGAGAAGGTCCTTAATTGAGAGTGATAGACGTTATGTGTCTGGTAATTATCACACAAATTTTGGATGTTGCCTTTTGCTTGTTTGTTATGAATATTTTTTGAGCGTTTGCTTGCTCTATTTTTGTGCACCATGTTTCGTTTCGCTCGCAACTGCTGTAAAAAACCGTGTACGTTCAAACAGGCTGAAGACTCCGTACAGCCAAAAATTGTTGATTCCTGGCTGTGTGAGAATATGATGCATGCTAAATGTTCAGGTTCCTCTGGGCATGATTGCGAAAAGATTACTGTCATTACCAAGAAAAGCTGCGGCGGCTTGCGTTGGCCATGCCAGATATCTTGATAAACAAAATGTTTTTTCATACAACTTAATTTTCGACCGATCGTTCCTATGGCAGCTATATAATATAGTAGTCCAATCTTAATAGGATTTTGCATATATATGAAGAGTAAAGTAAAACTAATAAATGCGGAGTTTGGTCAAGATATCTTGATAAACAAAATGTTTCGACCGATCGTTCCTATGGCCGATAGTCGGGAACTCCCGACTATAACCTCTTAGTTGTTTTTTTTTTTGCTGGTGTCTGTTGAGTAGAGTCGACAGCAAGTACTGCTGTCAGTTGCTGGTTCAAATCCTGCCAAAGGAACTTTTTTTTTTAATTTATTTGATGTTGGAATAAGAGGGTTCAGGGTATTCCCTAGTCGGGAGCTTCCGACTAGAACCTCTTACTTAATTTTTTCCTGGTGTGGCTGTTGAGTAGAGTCGACAGCAAGTACCGCTGTCAGTTGCGAGTTCGAACCCTGCCAAGGGAACTTTTTTTATACCCTTGCAGAGGGTATTATAATTTTGTCGTGAAATGTGTAACGAATAGAAGG